AGCTACAAAGCTTGCGTGGAGTGATAAAGCATGTAATAAAATGATTTACATTTCCTCCCTTGCTTAGTAAAAGTTAGTTTACTAGTCTCAATGCGCACTCATCTCTGGAAGCAGCCAACCTAGTCTAACGTCTAATCAAGTCTGGATTAAGCTCGTAACAATATTTTTGAATTCAACTTTATTGCTTTTAGATCAAACGTTTAACTATCTCAAAAAGCTTATCGACACGATCGAAATCAGTTGATTACACGGGGAGATCAAGATTTTGAATTCTATTATCGAATATGTATGTATGTATGTACATTCATATATGTATGTAAAACGATATCCGTTTTCGTTGTTCTGTGGCAGTCAGACAGTTCTCAATGCAAATCCCCCCTGCAGTGAAAAGCCAAACCAGTCAGCGAAAATACCAGTTCATTAACTAGTATATGCTACCAGTTCGATAATTTCGACGAAATTAAACGTTTAGCGATATCTGCCCTTGAATTGCCAAAGCCAAAAATACAAATGTCGGCTGTAGCATCGCGTGAAGACTACCGGTTCTCATTGGCGAGCGCCAAAAGTTCTTATTAGGCGCCGCGAAGCAAGCGGTCATTAGCCAGTCCACTATTAAACGATCGTTCACCTTCAATTTGTGTTTCTGGTTATTATTATAATGCTCAAACATCCATCGAATGATATTTTCCTTTTGAATGGTGTAGGTATCATCTTTAAAATACATATATCTTTATTTAACTGCAGTTAATGCAAGGAATAACCGCCAGAGTACAAAATACAATGCCCTAAATACAATTTATCCTTGTGGCATAATAAGTGAAATTTCTCTGATCAAAAGCACAAACATACAAAACATGCAAAGCATGTGGCAGAGTACTCTTCGAAGATCAAATAAGTGATCTAAATAAACAATGATTATTTCTTCAATAAATTGAAGAGATACAGGGTGTATTAATAAAACCACAGATTTTCTTTTATAAATAAAATACAGCAAAAATCTTCGAAATGATTTCTTCTATTATTTCATCATAATTTTTAGTATATGGCATTATGTCCACCACGACCCCTCTGGCAACACAGGATGCGCATACCAAAATTGGCATGGTTCGGGCTGTATATAGTTTATAACGCGTACAGTTTCGTTCTTCAGCTCTAGAATCTTCTTGGGCTTATTGAAGTCCAATAATGTCAAATCGCAAGGTATCGGCGGCTAGGCTAGTTAACCTCATTATTTTGCGTCCTGGAAACTTCATTCACAATACGTCCATTGTTTCAGACGCTGTCTAGTAAGGCGCACCGTCCTGTGTTAACCACATATTGTCTAAAACAAGTTCATCTAATTCAGGTCATATAAGGTTTGTTATCTTGTCACAATAACGTTCACCGTTCACCATAAAAGCGTTACCTGCATCATTTTCGAAGAAATACGGTCGGATGATTACGCCAGCCCAACAACCACGCCAAGCAGTGACTCGTCATGGCTATATAGTTCTTTCTTGATTGGAATGTAAATTTTTAGTATCTTATGATGGTCCTATTGCAGTTCTTGCAGCACGACCATTTTCATAAAAAGTTTAGATCCCTTTTACGCATTGTTTAATTGATTATCGCTCTTTGACTAAGTTTGCCAAAACTTGTGGTACCAATTGAATGAAAAAAATTAAAAAAGCATTAACATATCACAAATAATTGGTATCAAAGATATTCATCACCCTATATAAGCAAACAAATTACACAAATTTTATGAAAAAATTTTACATACAAATGTATGCAAGACAAGTCGAAGAGCATTTTTCTAAGCTCAGTTTTTAAATACATACATTTGAAATCACAAGAAATTCACCAAAAAATGCTGGTTCTTCTTCCTATGAAGTATAGCTCAGTACAGGAAATAGCCCACTGTATAAAACCCAGCCAGCGTAGCTGAACATATTTATGTAGTTAACAGCATTGAACTTCAATTGCAATCCAATATGCTAAGCAGCATACCTGCTGTAGGCACCACTTTGCCTCCCCTCGACTCGGCTGATATGTACATACATACCTTCCGCGTCGCCAGCCGCTTGTTATGCTAAAACGAATCTAGAAAATGCAATTAACCGTCACAATGCAATAATGCGCGTTTGGGTGTTGGAAAGCAGTTTACGAGAGAAATATTGCAAGCATATTATTGTAATTAGACGACAGCGCTGCATCAATGCCGACCAATCAGTTACTATAAAAGCCTGCGCCAGTTATAGCAGCATCATCAAAGTCTTTCTTTTCGTGTTCACTGCAAGTACAACGCAACGGTATTAGCGCGCAAAAATGTTCAACTTATACAAATTGGTAAGGACGTAAACGACCAACTAAATATTTATCCACATATTTCATTTACGCTCTTGATTTACATAAATAGTTCGTGGTGTTCGCTGCGCTGCTCAGTCTGACGGCCGCACGACCCAGCATCCTGTCGCCTGTTATCCTGCCATCTGCCGTCTCGCATCAGAGCATCACTCAGGTTCATGCACACCATCCTGTGCTTGTGGCTACACCTATTGTGACTGCCGTGCATCCCGTCCTTACACATCCCATCATCCACCATCCGGAGCATATCGTTATTGGTTAGAGTGCCACTCACCACCACAGCTGACATGGCCGATTTTTTTACAACTTCTTACGACTGGACTTTTTTTCGCTAAAAGTGAATACTCAGCACCTGCCACAATCTCACACATCCGCCTGCCACTATGTAATCAAGACACCCGCATTATCGCTTAATCATATAGAAGCATACATATTCATAAATCGAGGAGTTTATGTTTGGTATGCGAAATTCTGCGATACATTTTTTTTTGTTTTCTATTTAGCACTTGTTGCGTTGCAGTGCATTTCTTTTTATTTTATTTTATAATTGTATCTTTTAATTTTTTGTTTTTATTGACTTCCATTATGAGAAGTGGTTCATAGTTACATACATACTTATGTATGTAATGTGGGCCATTTAGAGATTATCAATAAAACCCAGAGCATTGAAAAAATCAAATACCGCAGCATTTTCTTCGAGCGTGATTTTGATTGCAGTAAATAGAAAACTTTAACCAAGACAAAAACATAGCTGACGGTGTCAAGTCGCATCTTTAGAGGCCAACTAATATCTCCAAATAGCTGCTAATACTAATACCGAAGTCTTTTGATCGGGAGATAATAACTACTAGACTAGACTAGATAGTATATCGAACACATCGGAGCCGCATACTCAGACTAAACTTCGACTCATATGATCCTGATGCCAAAAGCTCTCTTCTCTGGGTTGGGCCAACAGACTTAAGCTCACCCATCCATTTCAGGCTTCAAAAATAATCCGAGGTTAGAGTAGTGGAGCCTTTCGGGCGTTATGGCTTTTGCGCTCACGACGCAATATAAAACCTAGTTATAGCTGAATAAAGTGCTGAAAACTTGAAAAGAGATGGACACATAAAAATCATTTCAAAAGAATTCCTGAGCTCATTCGGCCAGCATATATTTCAATGGTATTTCATAATCATAATGGTTTGATCCAGTGGCACAATCCCTTTGTGAATAATAGTACTGGAAGTGTAGTAAGATATCAGCATTGACTTCACTCGGCAACTTTAACGCTTCGTTTCCCGACCATACTGCAGACGTTTCATCGCAACTTCGCTTTGGTGAAGAAGATGTTGAGGCCACTTTGGCCCATTTAATGTCCTTCGAATATTTAGTTCCCATCAACATCAAATTTGATCGTTCGACGCTCATTATTGATAACACGAACATAACTCCATTTCCAATCACTCAAGTACTCTGCGAGAGTGTAGCAATTAGTGAAATATCTAGGGATTTTAGTGGGCCATGCACATCGGGTGACGTTTGCAGTCGAGGATAACGTACTGTATTTCCAAGGTACGTCACTGACACTGGATCGTCACAGTCAGTAACGTTGATCTAGCCATGGCATGGCGCGCTACCATCACGGACGTACTTTTTCCCCTTCTCACTGCGTTTCCTCCTGGACAGTGACTAGGCGGGCGAAGCGAACGTAAGATGCAGACCAATTATGTTCAATAAAAACAATCAAAAAAAAAACTAGGACGACAAACGCTCACTATTAGCGCGCACTACTAACAAAACTTCCTCGACTGAGCAGCGCGAACCCCATTCAAATCAGGAGGTTTTGACAGCCAGCTGTAGATCAAAGTACTCTGTCGATCGATCACCTTTTTTCCCTGCAGAAATAAGATATATTAACCCACTGCAAGTTATTAAATTCCACAGGCTGGATTTAAGAGAAACAGCCAATGCGAGTTATGTTTGTGGAGTTGTTTAACTCGCCACTTCAACCAACCAACCAACCCGATCCTAAAAGGGAATAATAAATCAAAGTCTAAAGATGCTTATGAACCAAATGGCAATCAAAGAGCTTAGACACTACGAAAAAAAAGGTTACATATGTAAATCTAAGTTCACGCTACAATTAAGTTTTAAATGATATGAAGATATTCAAAGTACAGTACTGTTTCTCACTGTTGATTATATTGTTAATGGGCAAACACGCTTAGCCTGCAAGACCGTGGGTAGTCAGTTAAACAGAAGCTGAATGAGCGCTCATAATTAGTTTATACCTACTGTATTCAACATAGTGATTCAAACTTAGTTAAAAGAGCAAACAGGTTTTATTTCGCACTGAGAAACTGACCACAAACTGACGATCATTACTATTAATGCCTAAAATTATGCACCTTTTAATAATTGATACGATCGTGACATGCATTTTGCTTCGATAGCCAAAAGTTAAGCAGTGCAGGCATAAAATACATGTATAAATTCATAAATAATGCAGCCGAGGTAAGTAGACAGATCTGAAATGATTTTGTACGCTGAAGGATCGAAATAATTAATGCAGAAAAAAAGTATCAACCGTAGTACCTTTTGTATTGAATGTGTTCCTTTAAAGTAAAACAGCGAAATTTTGAATTATATAAAACATAGACATAATTTTATTAGAGCACTTATGAGTAGTACAAGGATCAAATTGCTAAATCGTTAACGAAAAATTTTCTAATGATGATGGAGTGTGTAGGCCAAAGGAGCAGCATGTACGGAGTGCACTAGAGGAGCAGAGTGTACGGAGTGCACCACTGGAGCCGAGTGTACGGAGTGCACTAAAGGAGCCGAGTGTACGGAGTGCACCACAGGAGCCGAGTGTACGGAGTGCAACACTGGAGCCGAGTGTAGGGAATGCACCACAGGAGCAGAGTGGATGGTGGTCTTGACGGCATGAGCAAGCACTGGCTCGACCACGGATTTACTGTGCACCTGGGTGATGCTCTGATGGGAGACGGCCGAAGGTGCGCTGTGCACCACGGAACCAACCTTGGCCAACACAGGCTCATGGACTACATGGTGGGTTTCGATGAGGCCAGCGTTGACGGCGGCGAAGGCGAAGACGCAAAGGAGAGCGATCTGTGAAATAAATAAAGGAAAAAGATTTAAAGTTAAGGCTTTTCTGTTCTGTTAATTTCGTTGCGTGCTTGTTCTTACGTTTTTGAACATTTTGAAGTCGATTGAGTTTGAGCTGTTTGATTAAGCGTTGAACTGTTGGCTGGTGACTGATATTGGATGCTGCAAAGCAGCTGGTTTTTATACAAAAATTGCGTCAAGTGACGTAGATATGGCATAAGTGAAGATTTCTTCGTAGCATTAAAGTCGTTATGCCAGTGTGAGTGGAGGTGGAGTTCTCAGTACTAAACGATTGATACAGAGTCAATTGCTCATTCGACTTGCGCGAAACCAATGTCGAAAATTGAACTTCTGTTTTTCGCAGCTGCGCTTTTGCCTTACGTAATTAGCGGTTGTTGTAGTTTGGTATGTGCGTAAACAATAGTTTGCTTCTTTGAGGCGTATCAGCTGTTCCTCACATACATACATACATATACTCCCTCACCAAAACAAAATGGTAAACAAAGGAATTGTGTTGATTTTCGGACTTTTGATTACACTTCATCGATTATTCTTGTTGTACAAGTTTATCATAACAAATTAACTTAGCTGCTTATTTTACCTTACATACATACTTAGTATAAAAGCATCATCGGTGCGCACATTTGGCATCAGTAGGAATTCACTGTTTAACAAATCACCAGCCCAAAACAAAATAACTAAAATGTTCAAAGCTGTAAGTAGATATTCGGTACTTTTCTGTGACTCTTTAATTCTTATCTTTAATTTTCCCATTAGAATATCATCCTCGCCGCCATCTGTGTGTTTGCCACCACCAGCGTCAATGCTGGCCTCATCGAAACTCACCACGTAGTCCACGAGCCTGTGTTGGCCAAGGTTGGTTCCGTGGTGCACAGCGCTCCTTCGGCCGTCTCCCATCAGAGCATCACCCAGGTGCACGGCAAATCCGTTGTCGAGCCAGTGCTTGCTCATGCCGTCAAGACCACCATCCACTCTGCTCCTGTGGTGCATTCCGTACACTCGGCTCCAGTGTTGCACTCCGTACACTCGGCTCCAGTGTTGCACTCCGTGCACTCGGCTCCTTTAGTGCACTCCGTACACTCTGCTCCTGTGGTGCACTCCGTACACTCAGCTCCTCTAGTGCACTCCGTACATGCTGCTCCTGTGCTTCATGCTGCTCCTTTGGCCTATACTCTGCATCATCATTAGAAAAACGTGTGGTAAAGAAACTATGTTTAGATGTCATCAAGAATCGTAAAAATTTAAATAAATATTTGTGATATACTATAAAAGTAAAAGAACTTGCTCTTCATTTCACAAAAAAAAAAAATATGCAAGGGGTTCCACTATAGATGATTTAAAGTGTACTAATTTTTTCCTGGCCAAAACCGGACAATTGCAAATAATGTGCTCTGTGTGTGTGGTTATGGCCTGTTAGTTATCTAAAGGGTAATCTTATTAAGAGACTAATATCCTTCCTAGCGAAAAAAATCCGATGAGTCTGGTCTATCTAATACACCGTCTAATACACAAATATATTTAAGAATGATAGAATTGTTACCAGGTTTGGTTAGGCTATGTTGCGGCGGTTGCTCCAAGCATGAGACAACTGGACCATTCGCATAAGTACTTTGTGATACCGATCAAAGAAACTTCGCAGGTGGCAGACGTGACCCTGTAGATCTCCACAGAGCTGGAAAGAAGGCGCGAACTAAGGTGTTTACCTCATCGTCCTCTAAACAGCTGCGACATTGAGGATTTGTTGTGATATTTCGACTCGCCGCGTAATTAGCTTTGCGACAGAAATGAGTCCTTAACCGCCTTCGCTCCAACCTAGACCAAAATGAGGTTGCATTTCCAGAAGTCCGCCTATAGTCAAAGGATACTTCAAATGGCCTACTACTCATGCACTCATAGGCCTGACTTTTAACTTATAAAATGCAATGGAAAGAGAGCCAAGGCATCCCTCTACTATCTTTTGTGACCGAGTCCTAGACCCTTCTAGCCGTTTTGTTGACAGAGTAATTGCCTACCATTCTTTTCGAACATCCCGCAGATGAGCAGCCACTCACCTGCCTCTTTAATGACATCTAACTCTGACTGGAAAACACTACAACGACCCGGAAGCCCAAATTTGATGGAGTTCTCCTTGCTTGAGACCCCTGCACCGATACTTCCGTCAAGCCTCGACCGGTATGATAGAAGTTTCCTAGTGTCTCCATTTTGCTACTACATAATTGATGTCCACTCATCTCCATTAGCGATGTGAGTAGAGAGAGAGGTCCTTGGTGCCACTCTGGCGACGCAATGATCCTTGTTATCAGAGATAAAGTCGAACCCTGCAAAAATATTAGAATATCCACATCCTGAGTGAGTTAAGCACGCAGTGTTCCCAATTTTATCGCAGCCCTCACTTCTAAAGCCTAATCTACGATATAAGAGTGTTCTTAAGTGCGTTGCTGATGCGAATAATGATTCCGTTTCACACGTTCCGGTTTTCTGAAACAGTTTTCCGCCGCCTCCGAATGGCAAATGATGGTTTTAATGAGAAGTCTTTTCGTGACAGACAAACATTCCGAGATTTCCAATTGCCTGTCAAGGGGAGCCCACCGTTAGGAAACCCCTTCATGTTTATATTCCTCGGATCCTGGAGGTATCGAGTGGTAGTGCGCATCTTTTACCACTCCACCGCGCCGGCACTGCCTCACTTTACAGAGACAGTTCTATCCGGAGCAGCCTTACCAAGGTATCTGATGATTGCTCCGGCAAAGATTTTCGATGTCAGAGAAGGCGGTCTCGGCCGACTTACTCTGATGCACGCATGTTGAGCTTCTGACAGGCGATTACAAGAAATCAGGTTTCTAATATGAAACAGATAAATGTACCTCTTCTGAACTTTAAGCAAGAATGAAAAGAAATTGTTTGTTCTAAAAATTTCAGAAGAAATTTGTGTTACACCAGAATCGATCCATATTTCGGTTACTAAGGTCACTTATCGCATTGTCAGAGATGCGAGTTATCTAAGTGCTGAGTGAAGACGACCTAGCAATAACCCAATAATTTAAATCAAGGCAAATAGTGCGCTTCCTCAAAAAACAAATCATATTTGAGCTTAAATATGAGCGCATTTTAATATCATAATCAGCGCAACTTTTGTATGAAATTCTAAACATTCAATCAAATAAATGCGTATATCTCTTACAAAATATAAGTAACCGCCATAACACATCAAACAGTTAAAGACATAGTTTTGTATATATGTATGTATGTACTGAATGGCGCGAAACCGGAAATAAATGAACGGAAATCAAAATCGCAACTAATCAATTTTAAATGTTTCTCAAAACAAATGACAATATGAAAACGCAATGAGTAGGCAAGAAATGGCCGAAACATTAACAAATTTCATTTGTCCCACTGCGAAGGTCTTAAAAAAAAAAAACAAAAGTGCTTGCTGCAATTGTAGGGAAGTAAAGTAGTTAGAGGAAAAATAGTTGTAGGAAAAAAATCTTAGAGGTTTTAATAATAAATAAATATGTGCATACATGAAATTGTACTTTGTAGATACAACAAGTGAGATTTTTGATTGAAAAAAACCAAAAAAAAAAAACACAAAAAACCAAATAAGCAATTCATCATAGGTACTCCTAAGCAATTATTTATGCCTATTATAATACTTAATCTGATTAAGTACGTGCGGGCATAATAAATGGTAAGTTTGTATGTGTGTATGTATGCTTGTGTTACCTATGTAAGTGGTTAGCCCTTCAAAAGTTAAATGGGCTTCTGTAATTGAAAATTAAATAAAAAAATATATCAGTGAAATAAAAACATAAATATTTATTTTCTATTATCTCAATTTGTTAAAGAAGTGAATTCTATTTTTAGCGTTAGCATCAATGTGCATATACATATATATGTATATCTAGATACAACTTAGTAGTGTACTTGCGCATTTCAACATACATACATATGTGTGATATATAGAACAACTTTGTTCACACTAGTTCGAAACGTCAACAGTTTGACCCAGTTGTGGCTGTTGCTGAGTTTTTTTTATAAAACTCATTTAGTAACTTCCTTTATCTTTCAGTCTGTAGACGAGAATAATAAATCCAATGTATAGCAAGAAAAATTCACACAAGCATTCAATCGTCATTTCGTTCGTCTTAAATTCTCAACTGGCTTGTTACATAATTTTTATAACAGAGCTTCCGAACATATACATATGTTGAGTGGGCTACACCGCCCGCATAATTTTTATTCGTTCATTCTTCAATTCTCACCAGCCTTATTACATTAATATTTCATATATTGTATGTCCAGAAGTTTTTAATAAATACATAGCTGTTTTCCCCAGCCTTTAAATCTTTACAAGCAGTCTGGGAATATTGCCGAATTTCAGAAGTTAGGTAATCCAAAAAAAATTTAAATTTAGGATGAACAAAGTAAACCGTGTAGAAATCTTCTGTACCTACGGTTTCCAGTTTGAAAGTGGACCTGGAGCTGGCTAACATCTAGAAAGTAACTTCAAACGGGAGGGAAGAAGTTCCGAATCTTGATGCAACTGATTGCTTGACTACAATTTATGGGGGCAGCACATGATCGCCACAGTTGTAATCGACGATTCACTGTACATGTTTTGCCCACATCACGGGATTCTATTAGGTTGGGTTAAAGTGGAATTGATCCTTTTTGATAGCTCTTCGAATGGTGACGACTATATTATAGCTAAAATCGCTGCGTATTTAGAACTAATAGTTTTTCTGGCGGCAGATATTGGTCCTATAAAGCTCTCTCGGGCCGGACAGTCTAGCAAAACCTGGGAAGTGTTGAGATGATTTCACCTCGTCGTCCCTTAGGCAGCTGCCTTAATTACGATGTCTTGTGATGTTTAGTCTAACTGCGTGAATCACAATCGGACAGTGTAATGCCAATAGATCCACCAGAACTAGGAGCCGTGCCTTGTAAGCCTAAGGAGGTCCTTATACCGCTTCCAGTCCACCTTTGGTCAGAAAGACGTTACAGTAGCGCACGCTCTGGTTTTCGCCCAGTGTTCGCTGAGTTGATTCCGAGGCCCAGCTTTTAAAGGTGATTCCACACGTAGGCAAGAGAACTCACACTCCTCCTAATAGTCATGCAGTTTCCTGCAATATCACTTTGGCCTAGTACCCATAAAAGCTGAGTAGGTAATACTGCGATGTGACTGAATGACTTACTAGCTTCTAGCACACCATAAGCACACCAAGGGTTCTGATTGATATTAGCTTCCCTTGCCGCCAGCGCGCACATCAACCACCAATCGACCTCTGCTTGGAAAACACTACGGTTAACTAGAAACCTAAATTTATGATTGATCGAGAATTCCTTGGTTTTTCGGTCAAGGTTCAACGCATACTTGTAAAAATTCTCCGAAGTCTCCTTCATACCATTGCCTCCCATAAAGAGATTATCAATACCAGGCTAGACATGCAGTGACTTTAAAGTAAGACAAGGTTAATACAAAAAATGTTCTCCAAAGTTATCCGATATTCGCTGGATTGAGATCTGATGTATTGACAGTGGATAAAATATAGTACCAGGTTGACCGAGCTTTGCTCGGAGTGCATATACATTCATTCTAAAGCTCTTAAGGTTTAAATATCAAATATAGGCCATTTGGAGAGCTTTAAAAATATATTTATGGAAATAAAAAATTTTATTTCGATATCCGTTAAGTAAATTTCTTACTCTAAAATATAGGTGGCAACCCTATTCCGAAATACGCTGGACGCAATAGTATAAATCTTGAGCATATATGTAATGCTGATTGAAATTAACAAAATTAAAATTTTTATTACATAGAAGCATGGCAACCCTGGTCGAAAATATTTTTGGGCCAAAGTTCACAACAATACCTTTCATTTGATATCCATATTGCGATGATTTAGATAAATTATGTAAATTCGAATATACATAAGTCGCAACCTTACACTATTATTCTATGGAAAAACATTTTGTTATAGGGCAAGCATTGCTTAGGAACCTTCTCTTGGTATCCATGAATAGTAATATTTTATAATTTTTGTCTAAACAAAAAAACTAAATAAATGTGCGATTCAAAATAGGTGGCAACCCTATTAATAATATTTTTGAATTAAGGATTTTTGAAGTACCTTTCTTTTGATACCCAAATTATGATGTTTTAAATAATTTGTAACTAATTTCGAATAGGTGGCAACCTTATACGA